AAAATAAAAATAATTATTAAGAGAATTAATTATTTAGAGAGAGAAAGAGAAAGAAAGAGAGAGAGAGAGAGATAATATTTATAACTAAATAAAATCAAATATCACACGAAATCAAACATTACATTGAAAGATACTTATGTTAGCTTTATTTTATGATATATAGAGAGAGAGAGCACGAGCCCAACGATTACATTATATGTATTAATATAATACATTATATGTATTTACCTAATATCTATGATACATATCTAATATCTAAGACATATATTTTCTTATATATTTGATAACATAATCCAACTACTTTATTTCAAAAATGAAAAAATCAATAAATTGCAAATGGTAGGATTTATTTACACAGATGATCAGTATTATGCATTAACTAATCGAATATCAGCAGTCACATTAACAATGCAGAACAACGAAACATAATCTATAATCTGTATGTACGAATTCGTCATCTTGCTTACACGTAATATTCGTCACCTTACCCCTTACAGTCACCATATTTATTTATCCTTCTCATAAAAATGTGAAACATATTAATACGTTATTTGTTATTATATACGTTTTTAACTATATTATACCGTCATAAAAACAGTGAAATATTTATTATGATTATGTAATTATAAACAAACATCTAAATATTATAGGTACATCCAAAACACATTTATTATAAGATTATCTAATTTCGTTGAAATCAAACTATAAGAGATTATTTATTATTATCATTCCCTACATATTGTACACACGACATTATTGCGTACATATATTTATACATTGCACACACAACTATATTGCACACATAAAATAATAAAATCGTATTAGCACTTTGTGCACGTATACATTGCACATGTGATTTATTTATTGCTCACATGCATCTTGCACACATAATAAAAATTAAATTGTATGTTTGAACATTTCTTAGTAAATATAAAAATAAAAATTGAGAAAATTCTATATTTGTATAATTTCATATAGATTTCCACCAAAAGTAGTCCACATCATTCGATACTTTCAGTGTGACGAGATCTGCATATAATTATATGATTCCACAAAGGGTTGAAATTTTTAACACGAAGCGAAGTCTATTTTATATTACTCCGTACTTTCAATGTCGAAGTCTATTATTATATTTCAGTTCTACGTGGATTTGCAACTTTTCATGCGAAAAAAAGTCTATCCCATATCGCCTGGTACGAAGTTTATAATTGTATAATTTCATGTGGATTTACAACTTTTCACATGAAACGATCACACATCGCTCAGTGCTTTCAGTGTGAGGTCTATAATTGTATGATCTCCTCCTATAGATTTATTATAATATTTTTCACGCGAAACAAGGTCGATCTTATATTGTTTGATTTTAAAGTGAAACAAAATCTATAATTATATGATTCTATATGAGTTAGCATATTCTATATGAGTTAGCACTCTTGTTTTTACATCGACAAAATTCTTACTTTTAAGTAAATAATAAGCGCCAATTAAGATCTTTTAAAGATTACTCTTAGAGTTATAATCTTAATAAAACATATATCAAGATCAAGATTATTTGTTGACGGATGCGGCAATCGAATTTATCCCTTAATTATATTTAAGCGTGCAATTAAATCATGTGTGAAATGTATATATGCGCAATAATGTTTTATGTGCAAAATATTAGTACGACGTTTTTATTTTATATATGCAGTACAGCCATGTATATAATATGTATGTGTGCAATAACAGATGCTCCGGTTGACGTTATTTTCGTTTTGAAATGCAAGATTCTTCGCCCAGATTAGTTCATCAAACGCTTGACGAATTAAACAAGATAAAGACTCTTGTGCTTTGAGACGAAAATAGCGTTAAACAGAATGTATTTAATATTATGTGTACAAATATATGTGTGCAATAATATTATGCATGCAATACTGTCATGTAAGCAATGTACGCAATGTGTTCTATACACAAATGTATGTTTTTATTTTAAATTATGAAATATGGGTGTGTGTGTATGCGCGCGCTTAATAATGCTTGTAGGTAATCGCTTTACTGGCAATCAGAATTGTCGGCAATGGAAGTTGTCAGTAAAATGATGTAAGGCAAAAGAAGTTGTTCAGAATTATAAGTAAACGGGAGTCTTCCATTTAATCTTATTTCTTTAATGTATTAAGACCGAGTAATCTTTTTGTTATAAATAAACTGGAAAAGATAATAATGAATTAATTTCCGTAATTATTTCTCCGAATAAAACAGAAATATACCTTGTTTTTGAAATGTGTGAAAATATTAAGTTTAATAATTTTATATTAAAATTATTTAAATCGTTATTTAAAAAATTAAATATTTTGCGTATAATAGTTATAACTTGTTAATATTAGCTGACCGCCATTATGCCCACACACACGTAGTATCTACATATAAGAAACGACAAAATAAAATCAGCTGTATAAAAATCAATATCGCCTAATTTGTAAAAATCAGTAACATATATGACTGATCGGTATACATATAAATGTAGTAACGGTGCGCGCGAATTCTACGCGATATCATTTGCAAACTTTAATCGCTTATAAATAAAAAACAATCGTAACCTCGATATTTTCGTATTAGGATATTTGATTCTATTTTATTTCCAAAATATGCTATTAAAATATTACGGAGATATTCTGTATATATAATGTGTTCGTATAATGTAGTATATATATAATATGTTTGTGTGTGTGTTCATATCAGACAGCACCAAGTCATCTAAAAGATGACTAAAAGACAACATATTTTTTATAAATGTCTTTTAATGAGAGCATATCGACGAAAAGATGACTAATAGACGATATATGTCCCGCACTAAAAGTCATTTTATAGCCTGATGACTAAATGTAGACATCTTTCAATCGTTTTAATTATATGTATTGTGGATTTAGAATCCAACCCAGCAAACACAAAGTAACAGTAACATAACATCAATGTTATAATTTCCCACTCAACAATGTAACTGCAATATAACATGCCTTGTACGTAACAGTTACATTGTTGAGTGGGAAATTATAACATCAATGTTATGTTACTGTTACTTTGTGTTTGCTGGGAATAAACCCCGTTATATTAATGTTATATAAGTATAACACAAAATTGAATATTATCAATAATATTGCATAAATGTTATTGGTAAGCTGTAATTTTTCACTCATAAATGTAACATATATTATATTGTATTTATATATTGCAGTTATATCCTATGTATGAACAAAAATATTTTGGCCAAACATAATTAAATATATAGGAGAGCTCGGAAATCAACCTCCGGTAGGCTTGCAAAATAAAACAAAAAACAGGAAAACCATTTTATTATACCTATACACACACAAAAGTTACTTTCACATATATACTCTCACTATATATACGATCATTTCTGTCGACTCTTAATAAAGATATTTAAAAATAAAGATACCAATTTGCCATTTCTGGCCTGGTGACGTCTTTTGACACTAAAAATGAGCATCGAGCAGTAATATAAAAATATCTAAATAAATTCTCTGGCCAATTTGAAGACAATTTTTTCTCAGCGAAAATGTCGAGATTATCATTTTATGCAAGCTTTAAATTTTTGCCATCCAATGTTTTTGTAATGATTAAATTAAAATTCTATTAAAATAAATTGTACCTGAATTAAGTGAAGAATGTAATTGTGTTAATCTTTTGACTCCACAAAGAATAGTTTGCGAAAAGCTTTTTTTCAATCGTTTATAATTCAAAAATTATTGATGTCTCATTGTTTGCTAAACAATAATAAAAACGATTCTCAAACTATAAACGAACATTTTGGAAGGTATCTGCTGGAATAGCTCTACATTTCTGTACAATTATTTGACGCAAATTCAACATATAACATAAACAAAAAGGTCATGCGATCGTTTTCTTTCTGTTGTCTACAGGAATGTAAAGTTATTCCAGCAGATACCTTCCAAAATGTTCGTTTAGAGTTTGAGAATCGTCTTTTCGTGAACATCCTGTATATATATGTATGCATATATGCATGTATGCATGTATGCATGTATGTATATATATGTGTGTGTGTGTGTGTGTATGTGTATATAATAAGATGGCAAAAATGTTTATCCCGATTGCTTGCAAGAGAGATTCCTCATTTCCATTCATTCGTCAAAATTACATTATTATTACGCATATGTTATAATAGTAATAGAGAATATACGAATGTTGTAGAAAGATTCGTTATATTAATGAAGAAAATCACAGGAAACGTTTGAATTTTTGCGATTATCTGAGGTAAAGATCTATTTAATTTCTAATTTCGCAGTGAATAAACCCACTCGTTGCATCTCGATGTGATGTTTATACCATTTCTCTCGTTATGTTCTTGAAGTAAGTTAATAAATATATGTTCATATATATAACATTAATAATGTAGAGAAAGAGAGAGACAAAGAGAGAGAGAGAAAGAGAGAGAGAGAGAGCGAGAGAGAGAGAGAGCGAGAGAGAGAGAAACAGAGAGCGAGAGAGAGAGAGAGAAAGAGAGAGAGAGAGCGAGATAAAATTTCAATAAAAGTAAAAAAATCATTGACTAAAAGAGACTTACATAAAAAATTATATCCAGACAGCACATACTCCTCTATAAGATATCTAAAATATGATTTAACGACTTTTTATTGATCTTTAGATATCATTAAGATGACTTTTGGCTTTTTTGTGCTGTCTGGATAACTATATATACATATACTAATATATAATAAATATTTTATTATAATAAATATTTTATTATAATAGAGAGAGAGAGAGAGAGAGAGAGAGAGCGTAGATTATTAATGCGTTTTTTATTGGTTTTCTCGAGTTCTTCTCTTTATCCCTCTTTTTATTGCTGATTCTGAGAGAAGATTTTACCATTTAGTATTTCATCATTAATTGATACCAGATGATGACAATTAAATTACCAGATTTAATTAAAAAAACAGAATAAAAATAAGAATCGGTTGTATCTGCATGGTGTATGTGTATATGTATTTTTGTGTATCGGTCCATCATATGAGTTGGCGGCAGCGTTCATTCTTCAAAATAGCTAAATGTGTGAGTACATCAATCACTAAATTTTACCAATTTGACAATGAAATAAAAATGTTAAACTCACGATCGCTCTCTCTAGGCAATTGCGCGTTATGTATTTTGCAATTGGTATTCGCATCGATATGTGTATGCGTGTGTGTGTGTGTATGTCTATATATGTGTATATATGCGTGTGTCTACGTGTGTGCGTGCGCGCGCGCGTGGCGGAAGTATATTTCCCGCAGCGAGATATAATCTATTGTATATCGCAACCGCGCCTCTCAATAAGCCGGTTATAAATTTATTATTTATGATTATAATAATATTCGCTATTTAAAAACATTATGAAAGATTTGATATCAAATCGTAGTTGTTTGCGGTGATGGTCGTATATAGAATATCACGTATGTTGCTAGTCGTGATAAAAACGTAGAATTAATCGTAGAAGCTCATCATATACCTCAAACTTACACTACATAGATTAAATACGAAGCTCGAAGGACTTTCTTGCGCATTATTAGGTAAAATTTTCCCATAAGAGATATTTAGTTTATCCACGTGGCCGATACATTTTCTCGCACTGTATCTCTACTTTTTTTTCTTTCTAAATTATATGTCGCAATTTCAATATTCTATTACAAAATGCTTTTATATTCAAAATATTTGCTTGAAGAGATCAAGAGTATAGAAAACATCGAAAGTATACGCCACGCAAACATAACTCGAAAATTTTAACTTTGTTAAATTTTATCGTTAATGATAAGAACTATATAACTCCCCAAAATTAATCGATGTTTTCTATCTCGCTGCAGGAGCGATGATATTTTTTACTTGTATACAAGCGTATACATGTGCATAGATGTAGCTCATTGCTTTCGCTACGAAAGACAAGAGCTTAAATCGAAAAAAGAAATTGCCTGGAAGAATCTTTGCTGCGTTGTGTCAACACGGCGCGGTGACGTAACGACATCTTTACTCCTGGTCGCTCGTCATGAGCTTCTCAACCGCGATTCCCCTCCGCTGCCTTTGTACACTACGTCGCACCTGTGTTTCCTTTCTCATTTTGTCTTCTGCGCCGGCATTTCGATGCCTTCTCACACTCCTTCCATTCGTTTTCGTTCTGTCATGACTGTCGCTGAGTTCATTAATGCCTATAGAATTGATCCAAGTTAATCCTATCTTTACCAAATTTCCTCTTGCTATGCTCTTCGTTTACAATCTGTTTCAACAGCTTTCTTACTATAGTAAGAAATATTATATAATATCTCATTTTCTATTGAATAGTCTTGCCGAAAATATTTGCATTATGAGTTGGCCGCGAAATACATAAAAGTGCTCGATGATTATCTCGTCTTATCTAATTTTGTTTATTAAAATAGTTTCTCAATTGTATCACGTTTTCTTCTGCGTCGATGTAGGATGATTTTTCGTTATCTACATTATGGTTTCGGTTTTCAATATTCGGACTAGCTTCCAATCTTGCCGATTAGTCGTGAAACTTGGATGTTCCAATAAGTAAGAGTTAAATGTAATTTCGTGACTTTCATGACGCTCCATTTTGTCAGCTTCGTAATCGGTCTCCATCGATTCGATGTACGACGTCATCGCCTATCACAAATCGATGTGTGTTATCGATGCAAGTGCTTGATTGTGTTCGCGATTTCATTATCTTCTAGTAATCTCGCGTAACGCTTTATCCGACATCATACTTCATTAAGATCTATTTGCTTTCTCAATATTTATCAATGATACATACACAATAACCGTCGAATTTTGCTCGATCTCAACAAAACAATTTTGTCTTCGAGAATCAAAGAAAAATTCGTCGTTACAAAAAAACAGACGTTAAGACGCCGCGGCATAAACGATCGGATATACGCGAGCACATCTACAACGAAATTTTCCTCTTTTCTTTCCCTCTCTCACTCTCTCTCTCTCTCTCTCTCTCTCTCTCTCTCTCTCTCTCTCTCTCTCTGTCGCGAATCTTGTCAGACGACAGCCGAAAAGTATGTCTATTTACCTTACGATTTCATTAGACAATCAATCGATCGACTCCGCTCTTTCTTGCGTTTTCAATGATCTCGCTTTTGCGTGTAGTTTTTCTCAAGGCTTTGAGGCACACGTAGCGCAGTGCACGCATAAATGTAGATAAGTAGATAATAAGTGCGCTGAGCAGGTACTGGAGCGTGTAATATATGCCGATAGTTACGACATATATTGCGGCTTCGGTTTTTGTCGCGCTTAGTACTACTTTTAAGTATGTATGTTGTGTATGTGTGTTCTTATATGCATATCATTCTCTTTCTCAAATGTTACATATCGTTGTTTGTTATATATGTAACTTTCTTTCATATACACATCTCTCTTTGTGTATATGTATGCCCATGTGTATCTATATGCGTGCGCGCGCGCGCGTGTGTATGTATATGTGTATGAGAACGCTCGAATATGTTGTGTGCTCCGTATTCCTAACGTTCATTAATTCGCTTTCTATGGTGACAAAAAGCGTCCACCGAGAGCGGCAGCAGGAATAGTCCTCTTAACCGATTTATTTGTGGTTGAAGGAGAACGGCGATGGACCCGTCACTGCGCTTCGGTGAAAATGCACATTCTGCCACTTGCTGTCTCTCTTGTGCCATACACGGCTCTCCTCGCTTTGCTGAGTATGTGCTACGCCTTGTCTGCGGGCGAAAAAGTAAAGAAAATATGCAAATTAGTATTATTACAACATTTCAACTGGACAGTAAAAATATCGTAGAATAGTTAGGATATATATATATAATGCAAGATATTGGACGGATAGTGTATTCTAGAGTAAAGAAAAAAAAGAGTTTTGATATTATTCCCAATGTATAGAGAAAGTTAATTATAAAATAATCGGAATTTTGTATAGTAGTTGAAACTAATACTAAAGAATGATTTTTTGTGGAATAGTAAATGAAAGATTCAAAGGAAAAAAGAGGGGATTAACACAATAAGAGATTGTATAATATACATATTGACATCTTATTATTTACATTTTTAAATGCATCTAACTCGAATGAACCACACAAATTATATAACTGTGTCCGCTTTTACGATTTTTACTCACTTGTCCATGTACTGCGTCAGCCTGACATACGCAATGCAAGCGGCATCTTCGCCCAGTAGATGGACGTGAGGATTCAAGATGGTTGTATTGACAGCTTTACAGTTTTTCCCCAGGACTGCTTAAAATGGTTAACAAAATGGAAAAACAAAATTAATATTATTCGAATATAAACTTCATAACAAACAATATAAGTTCTTTATAACAACAGGAATAGTCCTCTTAACCGATTTATTTGTGGTTGAAGGAGAACGGCGATGGACCCGTCACTGCGCTTCGGTGAAAATGCACATTCTGCCACTTGCTGTCTCTCTTGTGCCATACACGGCTCTCCTCGCTTTGCTGAGTATGTGCTACGCCTTGTCTGCGGGCGAAAGTAAAGAAAATATGTAAATTAGTATTATTACAACATTTCAACTGGACAGTAAAAATATCGTAGAATAGTTAGGATATATATATAATGCAAGATATTGGACGGATAGTGTATTCTAGAGTAAAGAAAAAAAAGAGTTTTGATATTATTCCCAATGTATAGAGAAAGTTAATTATAAAATAATCGGAATTTTGTATAGTAGTTGAAACTAATACTAAAGAATGATTTTTTGTGGAATAGTAAATGAAAGATTCAAAGGAAAAAAGAGGGGATTAACACAATAAGAGATTGTATAATATACATATTGACATCTTATTATTTACATTTTTAAATGCATCTAACTCGAATGAACCACACAAATTATATAACTGTGTCCGCTTTTACGATTTTTACTCACTTGTCCATGTACTGCGTCAGCCTGACATACGCAATGCAAGCGGCATCTTCGCCCAGTAGATGGACGTGAGGATTCAAGATGGTTGTATTGACAGCTTTACAGTTTTTCCCCAGGACTGCTTAAAATGGTTAACAAAATGGAAAAACAAAATTAATATTATTCGAATATAAACTTCATAACAAACAATATAAGTTCTTTATAACAACGCCGAAATATCGAGAGAAAGGAGAGAAAAAGAGAGAAGAAGGGAGAAGAAAAAAAAGAGGACATTTCATTTTCTCTCTCTCTCTATCTTTCTCTCTCAAAATGATATTGAAGAATGTGTTAGTTATTGATGAAATGAGTTGTATATATTACACCCAAAAAAGTTTATGATATTTCAACAAAAATAATACTTGGAAATATAATATTTCCAAATCAAGAAACGCATGCTTTGACATTTATGATAACGGGTGCAGCTAATCGATGGAAACATATTGTGGGTTACTTCTACACAGGAGACTCATTTGATGGCAAAACTCTAACGATTATTATTGTTCAGATAATAAGCAAAATTGAATCGATTGATCTTCATAAATTATTTGACTTCTGATATGGGTCTTGTGAATGGTAAAGTATGTAATGTTGTAGGATAGATATAAGAGACGGTATTCCAATATACACATATATATACTTACCATCACGTAATGTCTAATTACATTAATCCAGCTTTTATTGCTTCTCTTTAATTTATTGTGTAATGATATACTAGAGTCAGGCGAATTCTTTTTACAACTATTATGTAACCGAAAATTTTTTAGAGGCATACGTTATCCATATGATTATTCAAGTTGCAAAGCATTACATAGTCGACAGAAATTGTACATTTTCAATATACATACATATATATATGTATATATCCCAACCAATAACTCTTTATTATACTGCTATTATACTGATTAGAAAATAAATATTATTGGCATATTAAATAGGTCGTGCAAAGCTGTTGTATGTGTTGTATTTTCATTTGAACAACTTTCGTAGTCAGCGTATAAATAATTTTGCATAATAATAAAAATGGCAAGAATAACACACATTGCAATCATGTCAAAATATTTTATAAATAATTTTCGATTTGCCATTATATATATATTTTTATCAGATAATAAAATAATAAGTTTATAATCTAATCGAAAGAGATGCTCCATTTGTTAAAAATAAATCTGCTCTAAGGTATAGCAATAGCATGTATAGAATGCATAAAGTATAATATATCCTCGATGAGTTATAAATCAACAAAACTTACAAAAATATAAATAAATAATCAATGTGTTGTATTCATTTAATTTTTCGAATCGACGAGCTTAACTATATAGATAAAATAAGAGGATTTCTTGTGACGAACATTGAAAGTTGTTTTCCTGAAGCATGCAAGTGTATATAGTATGCACGATGCCTTGTTATCGACTGAACAATGGCTCATTAAACGAAAAACGTAAACTTTAGCTACATTATTTTTGCGTGCTAAAATACATCACTACTAACAATAAATATGTAATAAACGACAAACGCGCGCGACAATTAATGGTGGTGAAAACAAGTTATAATTACCATTATCAAAATAAAATTTGTGGAAATCCATTCCCTCGACTAAATTACCTAGAGCTTCCGGTTCGAATGCGGTCAGGTGTGGATCACAGATTTTCCTGAAATCATTAAAGAGATCTTATGTTTAAAAATCAAACATATAATATAAAGGTCGGAAAAACCAAGAATATACACATATATATACTTACCATCACGTAATGTCTAATTACATTAATCCAGCTTTTATTGCTTCTCTTTAATTTATTGTGTAATGATATACTAGAGTCAGGCGAATTCTTTTTACAACTATTATGTAACCGAAAATTTTTTAGAGGCATACGTTATCCATATGATTATTCAAGTTGCAAAGCATTACATAGTCGACAGAAATTGTACATTTTCAATATACATACATATATATATGTATATATCCCAACCAATAACTCTTTATTATACTGCTATTATACTGATTAGAAAATAAATATTATTGGCATATTAAATAGGTCGTGCAAAGCTGTTGTATGTGTTGTATTTTCATTTGAACAACTTTCGTAGTCAGCGTATAAATAATTTTGCATAATAATAAAAATGGCAAGAATAACACACATTGCAATCATGTCAAAATATTTTATAAATAATTTTCGATTTGCCATTATATATATATTTTTATCAGATAATAAAATAATAAGTTTATAATCTAATCGAAAGAGATGCTCCATTTGTTAAAAATAAATCTGCTCTAAGGTATAGCAATAGCATGTATAGAATGCATAAAGTATAATATATCCTCGATGAGTTATAAATCAACAAAACTTACAAAAATATAAATAAATAATCAATGTGTTGTATTCATTTAATTTTTCGAATCGACGAGCTTAACTATATAGATAAAATAAGAGGATTTCTTGTGACGAACATTGAAAGTTGTTTTCCTGAAGCATGCAAGTGTATATAGTATGCACGATGCCTTGTTATCGACTGAACAATGGCTCATTAAACGAAAAACGTAAACTTTAGCTACATTATTTTTGCGTGCTAAAATACATCACTACTAACAATAAATATGTAATAAACGACAAACGCGCGCGACAATTAATGGTGGTGAAAACAAGTTATAATTACCATTATCAAAATAAAATTTGTGGAAATCCATTCCCTCGACTAAATTACCTAGAGCTTCCGGTTCGAATGCGGTCAGGTGTGGATCACAGATTTTCCTGAAATCATTAAAGAGATCTTATGTTTAAAAATCAAACATATAATATAAAGGTCGGAAAAACCAAGATGTGAGAATTAAATGTTTTAAGAAACATATTGACTACATTATTGGGGGTACTCGCAACCTCGTTACAGTCTGAATGATTTTTTGTACAATAATTTTTTGGGCGGACACGTGGACTCTTTTTTTTTAAAAAGATTCTTAAAAAACATAAGAGCACTTGGTAGACTTGGCTATTTGGCTAATTGGGTAAAATATATAGATTAGGCAGCTAAATATGTTCTAAATATGTTACAAGTTTTTGGCATATTTCTTGTTTTTATATGTGCACTATATGTACGCTCTTGATATTTTTCTGTTTTATTTTTATTTTGAGATATATGTTTATTATCACGTTTTATCAAGAGACACGATATATCAAATTCCGTCCAATTAGATATGCCTGCCCTTGCATCACATTTTATCATATGTATGGATCTTACACGCGCATATTGGCAATATAATACATATACGCTGAAAAGTTCAAACATTTAATTTGGGACTTCAGCGTTTAATTAGCATGTAATTGTGCAATAGGTTAAAATTTTATTTAACACTGGGAGAGCTAACAACCGAGATAAATGCCAGAATTAATCATCGTATTGCATTTTAACATTATATATATACATATAAGCGATGTTTAGTTTCTATTTGTATAAGTTACAGAATATGCGCAGCTACATGTAGCATTAAGCAAAAATTTGAAAACATGGAATAAATTTATGATAGAAAAGATTTAATGCATTTTCAAGTGGAAACGTACATCAATATTTTACATGTTTATTCAGCCAGCGTTTTTTCACTTTTAAAAGTGCAACTGCGATGATGATTTTTGCACAATTATATATATGATATGAATATGAATATGAATGTGAATGTGAATATCGTAATAAAATGCTTTTCATTTTTAAATCAATTAAATATACAAATTTTGTAAAATAAATCTCTGTATGACTTTTTCTTTTATATTGTAATTCCAATCAGGCAAAGAAAATTATTCAATCATTATTAATGCTATTTATTTCAGAATGTTTAAACATTTTCGTCAAATTTACATTTGCTCAATAATTTTTTTTAATTAACAGCCATTATCGAGAATCATTTATTTTGGGTATATTGTCAATTGTGCAAGTCTAGTTTACATGATAATATTGCTAGATATTGATAAAATATGAACCCACAATAATAGCAGTTTAATAAACAAAATGTAAAACAAACGTTAAACTATCCCCCTTCTCCCTCTTGTGGAAAATTTTATTGAACATTCTTTCAGCCAAAATTTTGTATAGAATATTATAAATTTATTATATTTTTTAAAATCTGGATATATGGATATTTTTTAGCTAAACCGGGATAAATTCTTCTTAGTTAACATAAACAAAATGTTGAATATTATATATATTGCTAAATAATTCGGCGCTTTTCTACATTATTTTTCAGCTTGACGAAATAGTTCTTTTATTTTTTTAGTTAACAGATATCCCATTACTTACGTGTACGCTTCGAAATCCCCGGTGTTGATGCTCTCAATCAACTGCTCAGTCATCTTGATGATTTCCTGACGGCGCGCTGGAATCGTTAACAGATCAATGAATTAATCAATTCGCATCGAGGCGCCCAGTTGTGCTATTGAGCTTATACCGACACATTTTACAGCACAAACACATTTGCATGCACTTTATTTTTTTTTTTTTTGTCAACTCTGCTAAACTCTACACCATTGTAGCCCCCGGTTGTGCAGAGGAGCGATGAGCCAGACTCGCGCGAATAATTAGTTTCCAATATCGGATGCAACCGCGAGCCGATCTCTTATCCTTATCTTCAAAGACCGATCAAATCCCCATAGAGTCTAATCTAAAGGACAAAGTTTTGAACATTTCAGTCGCCAATTAAAGCAATGGAAATTTCGGAAGAATTGAGCATTCGATTAGAATTTCGATTTATGACTATGTGTGCTTGACTTTGATATTATATTATACAAAATATTATACATAATTTTATAAAATATATATAGCTCTATTATATAACTAAATTTAAATAAATATAAACTCGACCACTATTGTCAAAAAAAAAGAGTCAATATTAAAGAGAAAACTTTAAAAATTATTTATATTAAATAATCGATGTTAAGTGTTTAGGGAGACGTTGACGACTGAGATAAGAAAACTTATTCGCGTGTCTTTAATGTATGTAGAATCAAAATACATAACATTTGAAAGTCGCATATAAGCGATTCCTTTTCATTTTGCTGACATCAGTATTTAATGATTTTTGGCTACGTAATCATGTTTAATTTAGCGATCGCTCTACGTCGATTGCGTGATAAGATCCGAGAATATAATTCGAATTGCCAAATTGGCGACTGAATACTCGCATTTCTCCTTGATCATTCTTTTTACCCGCTTACGCTGTCTCATTTCATTCGATTGACGGCGCATTCGCTCATACATTCATCATCGACGCATGTCTTATGCGGCAAACCTGATATTTCAATCACATTTGTGTTTTCTTCATCAAGATGTTTCAGCGTACATCGCATAAACTCGACGGAGATGTAAGTCTAAATTGTCTTTATGAATGATTGGTCGTTGAATTATGTCAAAAGTAACTTTCAATAATTATTAAGTAGCACATTTCTTTATCATTTTTTATTTATTATATAATAATTTATATTTATAAAGAAAAAATTATAATATTAGACATTTAAATACGAAACAATTTAACATTATCATGCTCAACTGAGAGCCATTCTTTTCTATATACAGATCACGTTATCATCTCATAATAGGTAGATATTTATGATTATACTGTTTAATTCAACGGCCATGGCGCGTTTGTCAATATTACTTACGTCATAAGCCAGCAATTGTGCACACGGAAATTGTGATCATTCCCTTTGGACCGAAGTTTCGCGATTGCGTGATAAGATCCGAGAATATAATTCGAATTGCCAAATTGGCGACTGAATACTCGCATTTCTCCTTGATCATTCTTTTTACCCGCTTACGCTGTCTCATTTCATTCGATTGACGGCGCATTCGCTCATACATTCATCATCGACGCATGTCTTATGCGGCAAACCTGATATTTCAATCACATTTGTGTTTTCTTCATCAAGATGTTTCAGCGTACATCGCATAAACTCGACGGAGATGTAAGTCTAAATTGTCTTTATGAATGATTGGTCGTTGAATTATGTCAAAAGTAACTTTCAATAATTATTAAGTAGCACATTTCTTTATCATTTTTTATTTATTATATAATAATTTATATTTATAAAGAAAAAATTATAATATTAGACATTTAAATACGAAACAATTTAACATTATCATGCTCAACTGAGAGCCATTCTTTTCTATATACAGATCACGTTATCATCTCATAATAGGTAGATATTTATGATTATACTGTTTAATTCAACGGCCATGGCGCGTTTGTCAATATTACTTACGTCATAAGCCAGCAATTGTGCACACGGAAATTGTGATCATTCCCTTTGGACCAAAGTTTCGCGAGAAGATTTCGAGAGCATCTGGATCGCGAAATAATGCATTTCATAATTTCGCATCTTTGATTATCGATTTGTATTCTGCGTATATACCTATTTGGTCGATCAATATCCAAGATATATTTCTTCGAGAAATTTGAAGATCGAGAGTTCGCATCAAAACAAAAAATCAGTTCACCAGATTTAGCATTCCACACTTTCAATGAGTAATCATTCACTGCTGTTATAACGTATTCATCGCTCACATCCCAACAAACCATAGTTACTTTTGCTTTTTTGCTTGTACAAAGTACAAAAACGAAAGATCCCTAAAAAAAAAAAAAAAAAAAAAAAGAAAGATATTTGCATACCCTTTATACAATTATTTTTAGAACTAGTGCCAAGTTATATAAACTTGTTTAAATAATTTTATAATTAAAAACGATTGTTAGATTATTAAGAGCATGATTTTTAGGGAAATTGCGCGCAAAATAGCAACAATAAATTTATGAATAATTTCATAATAAAAATGGATTGAAAAATGTCACTTTGGCAATGAATCGCTATCATGATAACACTACCACTATCACAACCGCTAGCTTTTCTACGCTATTGTGTCTGTCCTTCCTCTGTCTTAACTAATTAAACTTCATCGCATCTGGGGTATTCTATTACAGAACTAACGATCCCGGTCCTCCGATCGATCTGTCTCTGAGATATGTTTATGGATGTATTAAGCGTGACATCCTCCGCAATTATGTACATTATATTATACAACAATAATTAAGATTAGAGTGTTATGTGATGAGAGTATCGCAAACTTTGTTTATTTGACACCGATAAATACTAAAACCTTGAAGTGTAGTTACCGGATTGAAATTCACTAAACAGAGATGTTTTAAGTATTCCAGAAATTTTTTCAATTACTGTTTTTAATGTATGCAATGTAATAATATACGCGACTTAAGTAATTAATCAGAATTATGAGAAAGTTTTTTCGTAATTGAATACCGACAAATAATCATTTTCGCAAGAATGATTGTATCGTGTATCGTATGCTTAATCATCACTGTACTTGACACTGTCGTAAAGATCATTGCAGTAATTATAACTATAGGAATTATATTATATGCGAATTATACACTGCGAATTGTGCGTAATAAAAAATGACGCTTTTGGAAGGAGGAAAACACGTTGCGATAAAGAAGCTATTATTAAATAGCTAGAAGCACATAAAAATTAATAAAATATTAAACTTCTGTACATTTTTCAATTATGTTATAAAAAAGTATAATACAAAAAAAGCTCCTGAAAGTAATTAATCTAATTTAATTTCTCTCACACTCGCAATGTGCCTCCTTTCACGAATTTCGTAAGTAAAAAACGTAAATAAAAAACTGGCGAGTCAAAGACAATATTTCCTCGACTTTTAATTTCTTCTTTCTTTCTCATCGGTTTGCTGCTCTTATGATGTAATTTCGCACTTTACCTGAGCACTGGGAGTTCGTCGAGAGCTGGCTGCAGGTCTTGATAGGACACACGATTCTTATGTCTACAAGCAATATATATCCCTTTCATATTAAAAAATGAATCAAGACAAAAATAATTTTCAAGGCAATATTCAAGCTGCTATACAAACACAAAGAAGATTAAGCTTTATTCATATTGAATTGCTTCGAAGTTTAAAATGAATCCATGAAGCGGTAATGCAGATAGAAATATTTTTAAAAATAATATAATATAATTATATTACATATATATATTACTCATATAAAGATAATAAACAATATGAATAATACATGCGGCAATCACGTAATATTCATGAAAGTAGTCTAGCTTATAACGACTTTTGGTTTTAATTTAATAAAAATGTAAACGTTATTAGCTTAATCCTCGCGTGCAGCATTTAAGAGGATTAACCGTCTCCCCAAAGAGTCCTTATCCGTTTTCTCATCTTCCTTCTAATTCGTTATTTCGATCGATTGACCAAGCTCGCAATATTGCGTTGCGTTTCATTTGGGTTTTATCATGGTCGATGTAGCAGCATTTTTTTCATAATATATACATATATATACTGTATAAACAAACGCAAATACGCTCTCTATTTTTATAGTGCTTTTAAATTATTTATTAGATGCGACATAGAGCATATGAATTCGAATAGATCCTCCTGCCCCCTCCATTATGATTTTCATGTTGTCATGCATTGTGACATTTAATTTAAATGCACACATGTGAATGTAAATTATGCAAGAGATAATTACGAAATATTTGCGAGTCGAATTAGATTAGTGATGTTTTGATCATGTGTTATACACGCTAATCGAACGGCAAAAGTCTTAATTATATTATTCAGTTTGGGGATTAAATTCGGTATTCATTGTAAATCATTTCCAGGAAATGTTAGAGCAGTATATAAACTAACTTCGAATTTGTTGTGTTATTCATTGATATTGCGCGTTTATGGGATCGCCATTATTCCGGATTACGAACTATTTGTACAACCATTTTGAAAAGCTCATAATCATTGCAACAAGCAAATACGTGAATGCTATAATACATTTTATAACACTTGATAGAGATAATGCATATATATTTATGAAATAATTTATTTAAGATACCGCGAATTAAAAAAAAAAAAAATCAAACTCACACAATTTGTGTCGAACGCAAAAAAATGTTTTTTAACAGTTGATTTAATACTATACATGTATATATACATTAACGTAACTTGATTATATAAACCTGTAAAATTTTGATATTCGTCTGTGATATAATTAAATTTGTAAGTGTTAATGTCAAGTAATTGTCAAGTAATTTCAGCTTTTATGGAATAAGTTTTTTTTTGTTCAGTCACAGTTATTATATATATAGAATGAAACAGTGCACCATTCTTGTAAAACTTAAAACATCTGTAGAAAAGATGTAATTTGATAATATATGTATTCCAAAATTTCGTTTTAGTCTTCTAGCCATTATTATAAACAATCTACGTAATATATAAATTTGCTTTGGTATTAATTATATAAATTAATGATGCGGTAGACAAAATGTATTAGATAGTGTATTATGTCTATGCGTGGGTTGGTCTTGTTTTTTGGTTACTTACTATATATGTATTTGTTTACGATGCGCAGAGATAGAGGTGAATGTTAAATATGATATAATAGATGGAATCAACGTAATTAAAGAAGTTCGATCTATTTATTATGTAATGAATGGCGATGCAAAATATACCTATATGATAATATCGATGCATCCGCATCAAGACTGAAACTACATACTTGTGGAATTGTAAAAGAATGTCAAAAAATAAATTATTAATTATTCTATTCCCAAACTTTCCCGCATGTTGAGATTTCTCCGAATGCAGACGTTTATTTTTCTTAATCGTTCATTTTCTTTAATCAATGCGTATTGTCATTGTTCTTATGAAATCTCGTATGTAACAAAATAAAGAAATCAGATATAGAAAAACATATGTGGAAAAAATTTTTTGAGCTAATTGAAGAATGATTTTGTCACACAGAAACATTTCATTAGAGCAACCATATTTTATTCATTCAGAAACCAAAATACTTATTATTATTATCACTTTTCTATTTATTCAGACACACTATTTTCCCAAATTCTGTAACTCTATGATTTTTTGGAGCAATATTTTTTTTTACGATATAATATATACAGTAAGAAGCATAATTGAACCATAAATAACATGTGTGTATTATAATAATTATTTATTGCTGTATACAATAGAATAGCCAGATAGCAGAAATAACAATAAATAAACAATAGCATAAATAAAATAATTAATATATTGCAAATGTCCACAGTATTCTTAAATAATATTTTTTAATATTTTTAATACTTGTTTAGTTAGCTATAATGATAAAAATTGAAAAACTTTTGCACTCTTTGAATAAAAATCTAATAAATTAAATAATTCTGGAGTTCCTCGCGTTTATTTAAAATATAAACTCTCGAAAGATCAAATTGTTATCGTCTTTATCTGGTTTAATTCTTATGTTATTTCTGTGATTTTCTGTGATCATTTCTTATGATTTTCTGTATTATCTTCTCTTAAGGAACAGTCTTCGCGACAGCATGTACATATATTTATAACAGCTTTTCTAACCATCAAGCTGTTGATAGTGATGGCACTCACATACACACACTTGTATTTGCACACACACACACACACAAAATAGAGAAAATCGAGCAGAATACACCTCGACTTTATCTCTAATCACTTTATTCAATTGTGCTAATTTTGAAGTACTTTAATGTCACTCTAAGTGATCAACAATTCTATTATATACGAATTAACAACAATTCATTAAACATTATATATGGTAAAAGGTCACCAATTTTATCGCTACTTAGGTATGTTGTAGGGAAGGTTATTCTGAGTAATTCCACGCAAAAATCAAGTGAGGGATGGTATAAAAATTACTCAGGACAATCTCTCCCCTACATATCCAACAATAAGTGATAAAATCAGTGAATTGTGACCTTTTATGCATATTTTATGCATATACCTTACGTTCTGATCAATAAATTTTTGAACATGTAATGACAAATATATGACAGTATTAATATTTTACCCATAAATTTTTTGAACCCAAAACAATATTAATATGTGTCTTGGCATAATAAATTCCGAAAATATTTTAACAAAACTTAATCCATTTGCTCCTGAACTTTGACAACCCAAAAAATTGATGATGAGAAATTACACGATTTATGCATTCGATTCTTTAATAAACTCCATAGGTTTTCGATCGAGGTTTAGATCTGACCTAATCACTATAGTATACAAAATTATTAAATACTTAACAAATCTTTTAATACACTTTTGGCAAAGTGTTTTGAATCTCGGATATGTTGAAAAACAATATCTTCTTCAACGAAAAGTGTTTTTTCAACAGTAAAACACATCCACTCTTAAAAAAGCATATAAAATCGATAGTTCAAATATTAAGTATGTATGTATAATTTTAATTTAATTGATTTTGGAAAAACGAAGAACTAGAATTAACATGCGAGTAATTATACACACGCATATTAGCGGTAAGAATAGGGCAATGGACATAAGTCACAAAACCTGGTCGACAGTTGCAACTAAATCCTAGCACTGTTTTATAAAATTTAACTATTTTTATAAAATATTTGATTATTGGTTCAATTATATATGCTCCTTACTGTATATATGTGTGTATATACATGTACATACAAAAAAATTGGTTATAAAATAAATATATCACTTCAAACTTTAATAAGTTTTGAGCATATAAATGAATCTTTTTAAAACTTTGAGGTGTGTGTACCGCACTCATGGAATCACGCGGGATTTTCCGTGGTATCTATAAAATTCAAAGTGATAGTTCTTCAATAGCGGATTCTTCATTATACTTGGCATTTCAATGTCATATTTAATCGTAATTGGATTAAAAGGACAATTATTTTTGTTTGAATAATATCACAAAGAGTTCGTTAGATCTGTTCTGTCCATTATATAGAACTAATATATTAAATATATTATGTTAAGATTTGATAGTTTAATGTCATATGCGATATCAGCAAAACCTCAAAAATTCTCCAGAAAAGACTTCTGAGTAATAAAATGAACCTCTATGGGTCTACCATTTTTGAATTTTTTTAGTACCACGGAAAATCTTGTGAGTACATAGCTTCAAAGTTTCAAGAGAAAATTCGTTCACACGTTATAAGTTATCAAAGTTTAAAATGTTATACTTATTTTATAACCATCTTGTGTATGTATGTGTGTGTATGTGTGTAATATTTTTTTTAGAGATCTGTGCTTCCCGGTGTTAAAATGCTTAAAGAAAGCACGAAGGCAGCCCATGCGTATCTCACAGCAAGCTGCAAGATGTGACGCTCCAACACGTTTGCTGCTGCGTGCTTCTCTCTCTCGTGTTTCCATCGAGCTTATGGGCGTCGACGATCCCCTTACCGAATTCCTCGTTCACGATGTGACCCATCCGGAATGCATATTGGCCGTCATCGCTCGTCCGTCGCGTTTTCTGTTCTGCACGTTTTAGCGAAAGAAAAGGCAGGTGGACGTGCAGGCAATCACAAGGGTGCGTGATCACGCATACGCAGTACGCGGAACACGTGCAGCATGCAGAAACATACAGACACAAACAAAAACAAATTGGTAATGTATAATGCCGATATAATAACATAATAATGCAGTAATTCGCGGAAGAAGAGGAGCACCGATAATTCATAGCTTCGCCGATAATTTGATTTTTAAGAATTTCGATTAATTAGACGATTAGAGAAGTATTTATAAGCTTATAGTTTAAAATTCACATTTAAATGAGGTGATACATCTAAAAATCTAAATAAACAAAATCTCAAAAAGAAAAAGTCAAATAAATAAATGAACTCTAGATACTTTCGTTACGATTTTACAGGCTTTATATTGATCTACTTATTTTCCAAATCAATTGCTATTCATAATTAATAAAAGTTAAACAAAAAATTACTTTTTTTAAATACAAGAAAAAACTAATCATTTCCCATTTTTTGACGTTGAATTCAGTAAATATGGATAAATGTTTACAAAAACATACATAGCACGTAGGATTATGTTAACTTTGACATATATCTAGTGTAATTTATGGTAAAGCAAAAATTATAATTTTTGAGATTTTTTACATTAAAATTTAGTAATTTTTAAATTACGTTAAAAGTATATGTACAAGAAAGTAGGCAAAAAATATGACTGACATCTCGACACACGTTGATGATTGGTTGACATAAGGTGATGATTTTGAGTAATCTTGAACAGATTTTAGTTGTCACTCATTCTTTATTAAAAAATTATTTATTAACAAAAATTTAATTATTAATGAAAAAAGTTGATGATGTAAACAAGTGTTAAACGTAATAATTTGAATTTTACCAAGCATGAAATTTACATTAGTTGCATTTTTGCATATTTAAATTAATGCATGGGTGAAGAAGGGGGTTTGTTTCTCATCTTGCATCCTTCCCCTAAATAGATTCTAATCTAATCCAAACCTATTTCTGATTTGAAATTAAAATTAGATTGGCTTCGATTAGAATATTTGCTGGATAGGGATGTAAGAAGAGAAGCTCCACTCCTGCATTTACTCTTCCACTCATATACATTTACTTTATAATATTTATACAAACAATAATTTAGTGCTTATATCATTAATACGGAGCGTATATATAAAATAATTGAAGAGATAGAAGACAGTGCAGCAATTGATTCCTCTCATTATTTTATGCGTAAAAATATTTAGGTAATCAAAAAATAAATATTTTATGAGATATTTTATAGTTTATGTAAACTTTATGTCAAATTAAAGAATAAAATATCTCATAAACTATTAAATTTTTGGCCATACCACCTTTATAACTTTTTACGCTTAATATTGCGAGAAATTGATTTATGTAAACAAATTAAGGTGGTTTCATTTAAAAAAAATGAAGATGGAATTGAAATAACCTCATGAGATCTTCATCTAAGATCAAACCAATGGCATCATCTTATGTCCGAAAAAAATAAAACTTTTGTATGAAACATTTTTTTATAAAAGACGTGGGAAAAAAAGATATTTAGGTGGAGACATTAAAATGACTCATCCTGTATAGATTTTCAATGATCTAATTTTTAATTCATAACCTTTTCGCAATATAAAGCCTATCATTAAATATCTTATTAAGTATAGTCAACACAATAAATTCTTTATCAGAGCTGGAAATTTTCTCATCAATATACTTAATTGTGTGATTGCAATAACACTTTTCTTCAACACATTATATACCATAACTCTAATGTGACAAAATACATTAAAGTAGCCCTTTCTTGTAATTTTAACTACAAATTTCTCAAAATTGTAATGTGATGGAGCAATTTAAAATCGTATTCAACGTTAAAAAAGCTATGAGAGTGATTAGTTTGTTCTTGTGTTTTTTTGTTGAATTGTGTAATATATGGCATACAGAAATATTGTTGGGCGTGTTTTTCTCACGCATTTGAATTTAGTCTCATCTGACATTAACATTTAATAATCACATTAATATCAATTGCCTCATTCGCGCACAGGTGGCAGCTACCTGACATAATGTCGATCAAAATGACATCCCATCGGATAATATCCCAGAAGACGGAGAAGTTTCTTTGTTAGATTAAATTGAGCTTGCAAGTTCTATCTGTTTAAATGGCAACTAGAATAAACCGGTTTTGCGATGAAAGAGAATGTAGAGAGTGGAAAACATAAATTTATGCATGTTAATGCTCAGGTTGCATGTTTCAATAATGACGAAGAAATATGAATGAAAGCAGAGTCTCTTGCGATTAAATTGCTGATGGATTTGAATATACATTTATATTGTTTTCACTGATATCTTGTTAACTATTAAATACCTAATAAACAGCTCATTTTTATAAAAATAATATAAACAAATGTGATTACAATTCTTTCTTACAATTTTCTAATTTTATCTTCCAGTATATAACAAAAGTTTTCTATATTTTGAATTTAAAAACAATTCTAAATTAATAAATTAGAAAGAAAAAAAGATATTGAAACCTAAATTATTTTATTGAGAAAAATATAGTTTCCGGATGTATCCACTTTTACTTATCACAGCGTTAATTGTATCAAATATTTATTGTTTATATATGGTATTTTAATAATATTATAGTCACAATTATGCGTGTCGATTGCAAATTGTATTTTTAATGTCAAAATAAGCCATAATTAATTCCGTCATTTTCATTCATGCATTATCATGATAATGTAATTCATACATGAATGCAGAGAAAGCGTATCTAAACGTCGTAGCCGTAAATCATAGTGAACATTAATGCCAATTATTTATAGATGGTACAAATGAAAAAATGCGTGCTTTTCGGGTAATACTTCTCTCTAGTCGTCTTGTGAATACTATACGATCGTACTTTCAATATTTCACCAAATGTTCTTTTATTGTTATTTATAGTAAACATTTATTTAAATTTATAGATGTATGAATTGTTTTGTCGAAGCGAGGACACCAGCTCTCTCTCTCCACCAGCTTTATAGAAAATTATATACATTTTGATCAATCAAGAGCTCAAATAAAAAAATATTAATCACACAGATTCATCATGCAAATTTTACAAAAATTAGTGAAAATATCCAAAAAGAATATAAAAAATATATATTTTTTCTACTTTAACAATATTACCCAATTACTACTGATTGCACAATAATTAATAACAATCGGAAATAATCGATAATTCTGTGGCATGCAATGACAATTGAGAATGAATTATAGCTGTATTTCCATTTCCTGAAAAAAGGAACAACTCTTAGAAAGGGTGGAAAGGGGGGAAAGGGTGGAAGGAAAAGATGTACCAGATTATCATGCTACAAACCGATGGCCAAGGAATCCTCGCGTCGCTGTGCCATCGGCTCGTTCTTGCTGTTGATACTGGGCGGCGACGATAGCGATGCGCCACCCTGGCTATTTTGGCTGTTATTACTGCTACTGCTGTTGTTATCGTCTCCTGCGTTGTCAGCTAGTCATGCAATCAACCAATCAAATACAAGCTAGTGTCAACGTCAAAGAAGCGTTTTGCGTTAGGTCGGTATCCGATCATGCTCTCGATCAGTAATTATTTGTCGGCTCAATCTACGTTCTTTTGCGATATCTCGGTTATAAGTTATGGGAAAAGATATGATTAAAAAATATCGGAATCGCCATAAACAAAATGTCCTGAAACTATTACATAATGTTTTATTTATTAATATTTAAGGTTATTTGATGAAAACGTGGTTGAGTCCAGAATTTAAATTCCTCCCAAGTACTATATAAGTATAATTTTAAATATAAATTTAAGTTAACTAAATTTTATTTGTGTGTTTTCCCACGCTCGCATATATCTTGCAAATTTATGGTTTTTTATATCAAAAATTCTATATAATAATTAAAAAAATAAATAATAAATAAATTTACTACTTATAAATTTAATAATAAAAATTAATACTTCGCCATATGTAGTAAATTTTACAATTTGTAAAATAACTAGTTTTTTAAACATAACATTTATATAGTATTTTATAATGTAAAAAATATATAAAGCTATGTAATATATTATACAGGATATTCCATTTTAAACAATCCAACCGAATATCTCGAAAACTGAGCCCGGTAGGCAAAAATGTTTCACAGAAAATTTGTAGAGTTTTAAGAAAGAAAAAAGCTAGTTACTTTAGATTTTAATTAAAGTTATTTAAGGTCATGTATAGAGATTAATCTTGTTTAGGCTTCAGACCATTCATGTTTTCTATGGCAATTTTCTACGCAAAATTGAGCGATCTTTTAGAATCACTTGGGGGCACTGGACAAAATCCCAAATTTCTGGAACCTTGATGAGTTCGCAGACGTAATCTTCACTCTTAGCACTTATTGAAACATTCTTTATTGACTGGTCCCAAAATTTATTTATTTGGCTCCGGACAAAGATGAACGGTCTCTTGTGAGTAGATACAAAAAAAAAAAAAAATCGATAAAAGTTAAATTAGTTGCTTATTATCGAAAAATGTAACAAAATTATTATTTTTTGTTATAAACAAAATTTGTAACGCGATTATAATTATTAAAAAATGTAACTGTAAAACTGTAGCCCACAGTGTTACAAGTAACGCGTTACTTCTCAACTCTGTGTTTATATACATATATGTACATGTATGTACATATATATGCGCATGCACATACACATGTATTATTTATGCGTAACTGTTTGAGAAAAATCTTGATAAAGCGTGAAAGCAGAAATGGGTCATTCGGCTTATGCAACCTTACCGATACGTCGATCAGACCGCCGCTGGCTTGCGCATTAGCATCTCTCCTTTTCTGGATACATATGTCTACCTCCTATTCTGCGACACGAGCAGAGAGAGACTGCAGCATTTAAGTAATGATTGTTTCGCGGAACGAGTCCATAAAATTATTCTTCCGCAAAAAAAAAAAATAAATAAATAAATCAACAAAGAAAGAAATCAGTGAGCAAAAAAATAAATCAAAAACGGCTTGGATAGCGGCTCTGCTCAAGCCGCTAATTAGATATTAGAAAAAAGTAATTAATTAATTGCATTTACGCGCATTAACTATTATAGAGTAATTATTAAATATTATTCAAAAATTGACTATTCAAAAACAAATTTTAAGTCACAAGAAGATAGACTTAAGACCAAAATAAAATATAAAACGCTTATCGTACCCGGATTATAACTAAAAGAATCCTAAATTACTTAGGGCCAATTATATATAGTGTATAGTGGAATCTCAAAATGACAGTAAATATATATATATATATATTTACTATCATAAGAGCAGTATTATATCAATGTAACTGTGTTTTCTAAGAAAAAACGTTTTGTAAAATCTACAGCTTGAAAAATAATTTACTATTTTATAAAAATTTTAAGTCATATAATTTGTACTATTTTATGCACAAGTTTTAAATCTGTATAAAATGGACTTAAAGCCAAAGTAAAGTATAAAAACTTGGCATACTCGCGACATATTAAGGCGCATTGTTGCTTTGTATATATGTATTGCGATCCTGTGTTTCGTCCTTTCGTCAATACTGTCTATAAAATCATATTTTAAGATTGTCTCTCCTAGCATATTGTCAAAGAAGTTGTTTAACAACAAAAGCAAGCAGCATCTTAGAAGATCGGTAACAGCTGTCAAGCTGTGTAGTCGTGTTTTGAGAGCTTTGCCAGTTAACTAGATTATCGTGTTCCCTTAAACAAGTCTTATTAAAGTTATCTATTTTTCAAAACTGTTTCTCTTTATTCAGAGCGCGAGTGCGAGTGCAATGGAATTAGTGCCTCGTCGCTTTGATATATCGAGATCGACCCGCAGACCCGCAGAACAATATATATGTATAGGGTGTATATTATATAATTCGCACTCGCGAATTACGTTGCATCATTTCTGAATAAAAAATAAATCAAGAAGACTTGAACCATTTTTTTCTGCGATGCTTAACAAAAAAGAAATTATCAAATGCGGCTTACGGACGTATGCCTGTCGTGTTTTGAGAGCTTTGCCAGTTAACTAGATTATCGTGTTCCCTTAAACAAGTCTTATTAAAGTTATCTATTTTTCAAAACTGTTTCTCTTTATTCAGAGCGCGAGTGCGAGTGCAATGGAATTAGTGCCTCGTCGCTTTGATATATCGAGATCGACCCGCAGACCCGCAGAACAATATATATGTATAGGGTGTATATTATATAATTCGCACTCGCGAATTACGTTGCATCATTTCTGAATAAAAAATAAATCAAGAAGACTTGAACCATTTTTTGCGGCTTACGGCTTACGGACGTATGCCTGCCTAAAAAACGGGGCTGAATGGGTTATCTTTATGTAATAATTTCTTTTTTCTTAAGCATCACAGAAAAAATGGTTCGGAGTTTTCCGATTTATTTTTCATTCGGATATAACGCTATGTAATTCGTAAGCGTGAATTATGATAGATCTTGTGTGTATATGTGTGTGTATACGTGCGTTGTGCGTGCGTGCGCGTGTATCTGTAGGGGAAGATATGATAATATAAACCACCTTTTTGGTTGTAGATAAAATATTTAATTTTAAATGCAATTATATCATCAATATCATTAATAACCGGCAGTGTTAGCAAATATCAGCAAATATCTCTTATCGCGTATTATTAGTAATTAGAAGAAAAATAGAACTATTCAAAGAGTATAAAAAATTTTTTTAACATTTTGCCAATGTGAGTCTTAAATAGCGGGGTAGTATTATGAAACAGATATAAAAATAAAAGCAAAAACCTTTTCTTTTTGTTTTTTACTATTAAAACAACTATTTTGTTGAATTTCTTTAAATGTAAAAAAAAATTATACTTCAAAAATAAATATAAAAATTGTTTTTAGAAATTAAGAAAAGTCGACTAAATTCAAATTATATTAAAACTCTTCATGGACACCAGAAGTCGCAAATAAAAATATTAGAATAAAAAACTAATATACGGCTCTGATAATAAGGTAAAAATTACAATGTAAATTCTTTGGGCAAATAAGAGCCGAACGCGAATGGTAATGCATAAGTTTAATAGAAAATTAATTTTTTTCTTGAAACTAAATGATTCGGCAAAATCAATTTTCTATGAAATTTACACATTATCATCTGCATTTGGCACTGATTTATCCGGAAAATTTATGTTGTGATTTTCACCTCTCTCTCTCTCTCTTTTCCTCTTAGAACCGTATTATAGTTCTTTCTATTATATATTATACTATTATATACTAGTATATATATATAGTTCTTTTTATTTGTATTTTTGTTCATTTTGCAAAAAGAAACGTTATTATTAAATATATATATGTAGGCAAAATATGAGAAGTATCATAGTGTGAGATCTGAAAAATTCATTGTCAGTGACACAGAGTTGTCTGGAAAGCGAAAGATTCGGTTTCAATTCTTGATTCAACCGCGATTTGCGTTCCTATATTTCTCTAGCTTACGCGTCTTTAGGAATATACGGGGTTTATTAAAATAAATCTCGGATTGGAGATTATTTTAATTACTTGGTATCAACCAAGAAAAATTTGTGTTCTGTGCACAACTATTATTTAGTTTCAAGAAAAAAAAAATTAATTTTCTATGAAACTTACGCATTACCATCCGCGTTTGGCTGTTATTTGCCCGGGGAATTTACATTGTAAAAACATCAGGTTCACACCCACTGCAAATAACCATAGTAATGTATATTAGTATATGTATATATATTATAGTATAATCAAAAATGGTTATGGTTACTATAGTTACTGATAAATTTTAGCAGTTGTTTTAGAAATTATTCTGTTCTGTTTCATATTACTACCCTGTTTTATATTTTCTACGCTTTTCTCTATATATTTTTTCACGATATAAAAATTATTTATCTCAATCAAATAATATATAAAGGCTTTCACACATAATATTTATATTTTTGTTAATACAAAATTTTTTGTAAATTTTGTACAAAAACACAAGTGTTAAGAAAAATATTTATAATGACTTATTAGTCTAAATCTACACACTAAAACACACTACTTATGCGTAAAGTTAGTAATAAGTAATTATTAATTAATTAAGTAATTAGTAATGAAGTATACATTTTTATATTATTATTTATATAACATTTTATTTAAGCTATTTAAAGTTAAGATTTGCCAACTATTATTTGGAAACATTAAAATAATCTTAGGTTTGTGAAACGCAAACGCGTATCTTAATGCGATCCAAGTATTCTAAGTTTGTATACTTTGGTTTTAAGTCTGTTTTATGCAATTTATAATTTGCATAGCAATTTTTTTCAAACATATATAGTATATAGAGCGTATAAAATATTTTATACGAATTAAAAGAGTCCTAAATTGCTTAAGGTTAATTATAAATTGATGCTTCATAAGTGATTATTTTTGGGGTAACGCAGTATATGTAAGTAATGGCACCACGTATATGGACTTGCGCGATAGCATTTAGATAAATGCACTAACA